GTGGAATTAGTTTGATGAGCAAAGTTATTTTTATGTTTATTACAGGAATTTATACATATATAAAAAAGTTAATAAAACAAGAAACTTCTATTTATTAATATTTGTATAATGTCATAGAGCCAAACAAGTTTGAATTGATGTTGCTTCTCCAAAATAGGAATGAATAAATACAGAGCTTGGGGGCAGATAAACATTCGTTTGACTAATAAAAAAGGAGGTTAATAAAGGATAAACTTACTTCTATGTATTCAGTACACAAGTAAGAACGAACTAGAGCAGTACACAATATAAAATTATAGTTGTAGCAATGAAATCACTGTGGAAGGATACAATTTGCCTTTGGCCCCACGATAAACAAAAGTTTTAGTGTTATGAAATAGCGAGAAACGCGTAAAAATGACGTTTTTGCTCCGTTAAATAAGTTTATCCCTTTTAAGTAGAACAAAAGCCATTACTGGATTAGCTATTTATAACATTTCCGAGCTCGTCTCCAACGAACTGTTCCCTTGAGATTTTATATCTTCGAGTTTTTAAATACTTTATTTAATTAGCTTAGGAACTTAACTTAACTTAACTAGCTTAGGTTAGTATAGATTTGTGTTACTTTTCCTGTTATGAGAACATACGTGACATTTACAACTCTATACTTTCTACATATGCATGGTACGAGAAAGCAAATACCCTCACGCGGCAACCTGCGGACTAAACGAATTTCCATTAACCTTATTGGATTGTCACAAAAGTATTTCCGTTACCACATTAGATCCATTCCCTATTTAGATTAGACCAAGTTTTATTACAAGTACTGATGTAATCAAGTCTGGCGTAAAATGCTTAGGTGATATTTAGGTACAAGTACAAGTTTGCTGCTACAGGGTGGGAAAAGTGTTTTTGTCCCAATAGTAACGTGGTAAAAAATAAATAAACTTACCCAATTTGATCAAAATACATCCATAAACAAGCAAAATACTACAGTTAAGCATGGCATTTTTTATTGTTATTTTTTTAATTTCTCCGTAACATTTAATTGTACAACGACGCTTCAATAGTTAAATTCATTTGTTTTGTAGTTATTCGTGATGTCAGAAATTAAAAGTGTATTTTTTATGTTTTAGAGACATATTACAAAAATAGAGATTTAAGTTGAAAAACCTCCATAACACACTATCCTCAGGACCTGATTTTTCTTGTTCACAATCCGTTTCTAATGAATCAAAATTTCATAAAAAGCGGTTTAAAATTACTACAGTTAACATGTTCACGGACACACACGCACACAAACACAAATATATGTATACACCAATTTTAAAAATAGGTATTTTAGCCACTTACGTCCTAGGGCTAGGTAATACCGCCATCTACGGTAATAGCTTATCTCCGTCGGGAAGATTTTCTAAAAGCTATTATTTAAAACGAGTTTTAGTCCAACAGGTTATAAGTCGGCCCTTGTTAGTCCTAAACACAAAATATTAAATGTGTTGTAATGCTAGTTGTACAAATAAGTCTCATAAAATTTTTTTTCTGGGATGATATGTTTCCTTACAAAATCGAAGTATAATGGATACATTGAATGAAATCTAAGATTCAAAGACGATTTCTTCCATCAATCTTCAGACCACGCTCAATCAGATCTGAATAGCCAATCAGGACTCAATCACGCGGGAATCCCGCAGAGGATTGCATTTGTGTCATTTAAGATCTCATCTCAACACTTGTGCTTCTCGTATTATATCGGCCACAATCGTTTGATTTTAATTTTAAAATCCAATGTATCGTTGATTCATGCTTTAATAGTGTATTTGTAGTATTTTTAGTTATTAGTATTAGTATTTCATTTTAGTTTGGTGTCTATTTTTGTTTTATAGTAGGATTACATTACAGAGATATTTCTACTCAATGAGAAATCCTATTTTTCTGGATAGGTGAAATCACTGTTTAAAGTGAGCTTGACAGTCCAATCGTGGCATAATTGTTTACCTAGTAGAAGACAGTAAAATATCAGAAATATTTATTTTACTAAATACGTTCGTATTTGAATTTGTTGGTGCAGTGTTTTACCTTTAGTCTAATGTTAGAGGGAGTGTGCTCGCAGAGAAGATTGGTGTTTTGTGGCCAAGGTCCTGGAGGATACAAGACCGGGCAGGGGGTGGGGGATAATTTGGCGCTTTAAGGGACTGGCTGAATGCTCTCACTGAAATAACACGGGACAAAATAACTAGTCTCAGAGTCCTTTGCGATTGCTTGTGATATACTGTGCAAACGGTCTTTGTTATTTGCATTGTAATACAAGTTAAACAACGTATGAGTTTCGCATGTGAAAATATCGTTTTTGTTCGCTTACATTTATACACCATTTTGTGCTAACTACATGAACACCATGTATATTACTGTCATATTTTTACGCTTTTTTAAAATTATCGATTCTATTTTTACCATTTTCTTTAACATTCCAAATAATTGTCCAGCAACAAGTGATGAGACTAAATTAAATTTTTTTTCTTGAACTATACTTCTTATTCTTTATACCACATCGTCATGTATCCAATCATTAATAAAGTATAAAGTTCAATCATTAATACAGTTTCAGGTAACTACTAGAAAACAATAATGAAGTACATTTAAATGATTTGATAACACAAAGAAGTTGACTAAAGCCTCGTATAAATGAAACATCACTTTAGAATGGGTCAGATACTGCATGTGGTTTCTTTACTGTTCAAGAACAGACTATCTTTGCTATGGTTATTAAGTTATAGCGCAGTTTAATAACCACTCTACATTCAGTCAAAGTCTTATATCAAGTGTTTTATCATCTGTATGAAGGGCCTTGTGAAAGTGAATGTGCTAAACCACAGCCACCTCTGGCTAAACTGTTTATAGAACTGAGTAGTTACCTTTTTATTACCTAGTAACTTCGCTACTCTCTCTTGATGACTAAAATGTTAATTTTTCAATACATAATTGTTTAAACTTTATTGACCAATTTAATTTTTATATTCAAATAAGATACATTTTCATTAGTAAAAAATGCTTCAAAGCAAGATACAAACGTAATATCACTGGGAAACGTTAAATATTTGAGCAAACGACAGACTTCCAGCGCAGTGAGTGCATACGTTCCATTAGTGTGTTTACTGTGTAACATAATTACCTTATGTCATCGGCATAAACAAACATGGTTTTATACATTCCACACTGAGAATAACGTCATATGTTCAATGTTTTAATGTAATAAAATTAACAATCAGTATTCATTTTTCAGGAAACTTTTGTATATTCGTAAAACGTATTAAGATAATAAAATGTTGTGAAGATATTTTAATGTATATATACACAAATAAAATTGTTATTTTAATGTGTGTTTTTGGAGAAGTACTTATTATTGTTATGAACTATTACCAATTATAATGTAGAAAGGTAATCATTTTAGTATAGCCAACCTAATTTCATTGAATTTTGCTTTCTAGTCACATTTAAATTCTATGAACTACATACATGTATGGCCTGACACACTGATAATAATAACAATGAAATACATTAGTTATCCACAGACTAGTGGGTGGCGCATAAAGAACGCATGGATTTGAGTTGAGTGGTGAGAGTAATAAGAGCGTCCGTGGAGGGACAGGGCCTGGTTGTTTTGTAGGTTAGGGCGTCCAGTTTTAGTAGCAATGGTGCAATCGACCTGGCGCATCGCGTTTTTGCTGTAGAAAATTTATTCAAAAATAATGAATCTGATATAACTGTTCAATGGCTTCTCCGTGCACAGTTCAAAACAAAACCCGATCGCAACACAATACTCTGTTGGGTAGCTTCTTTTCGCACAACTGAATCAGTTATGAAGCAGAAGTGGTTTGGTCGTCCTTGCACGGCGCGAACTCCACAAAATAAGGGTGTCTGTTATTCAAAGCCCTCGCCGCTACACTAGGCGATGCGCTCCAACTGTGTGCTTGTCTTGACGCTCCTTGCAGGGCAACCTGAAAGATGAGTTAAAATTTCATCCTTACAAAGTTATGATCGTACAGAAGGTTTATGAACGTGATTACGAAAAATGGAAACTGTTTTGAGAGAATGGTTGATGTTCTTGCCACTGATGGCGTTTTGTTTATGATGTTAATGATGGAGCGCAGTTTCATTTGGATAGTTATGTCAATAAGCAAAACTGGCGCTATTTAGCAGCAGAAGAACCAAAAGAATCGCATGAAAAACCACTGCATGATTTTGAAACTTAACGTTTGGTGTAACTTTCGAAGATGGGAATTCTTGGGCCTTACCGTGCATTTTTGAGGACTTGCGGAACATTGAACTTTGTGCAGAAAAGCCGTTGAACAGTTTTAACAGATTTAATTACTTTTGAATAAATGTTCTACCGCAAAAATGTGATGTACCACGGACCACTGCACCATTGCTACTAAAACTGGACACCCTAAGCTACAAAACAACCAGGCCCTGTCCCTCCACGGACGCTCTTATTGCTCTCACCACTCAACTCAAATCCATGCGTTCTTTATGCGCCACCCAGTATATTATTGTGGCTTCATTCTATGGTCCTCAACATAATATGCATCTAATTTATTATTATTAACGTTGATGACCTTCGAATCAAGTTCCAAGAAGACATCTATTAGTCTGATTATGACTCCAATGCGAGTCAAAACTAGTTTCCATTCCGCTACGACCCACATCGCATAGCTTTAGGTATTTAGACAAATTTATAGCATTAAAAACTATTTTATTAAAATTGGTTATTATGATTAAAACGGAATTTTTTTCTTTGACTAGATAATTATACTTCTCACTGTAGTTGTTTAAAAAATAAGGCTAGTAGTAAAAAATAAAAGTTAATAGCTTGTAACAAAAAACTAACGATTTTGTAATACTTCAGAGAGCTAGCCCCTAGACAAAATTATGTAAACAACTTTTTTTTTATCGCAATCTTACTTAAAAGTATATGAGATGATGTTAGTGTCAGTAGTATTTTAAACTTTTATTTGTTCCAGGGTAAAGTATGAGCCCAGGGCTGGGCGCACCCGAGGCTCTATGGGTGTGGGCTGTGACAGCTGCTGTCATGATGACGTCATCGTCAGGACGTCGAGGCGTAGAAGAATCGTCACCTCCTCTCAACTTCACCTTCACACGACCATCCTACCACGTCACCATCCCCGAGAACTCCGTGGCCAAGACCTACGCGACGGCCGACGAGAAGATGGGCGTCGTCCTACCTGCCCGTGGCGAAGTTCACTTTAAAATTGTCTCAGGTGACTCAGACAAAATCTTTAAAGCGGAGGAACGAGCCATGGGAAACTTTTTGTTTCTTCTAATAAGGACTAGAACCGGCAATAGTGTGGTGTTGAACCGCGAAAGAAAAGACAGTTTTGTACTTCACGTCAAAGCAATTCTGACGTTAAGTGATCGCACTGTTGAAAACAACACAATTATTAACCTACACGTAAGTGATAGAAATGATTTGAGGCCTTTGTTTTATCAGACGTCATATCAAGTAGCAGTAGCTGAAGACGCGCATGTACATAGTAGTATAATTCAAATTCGAGCCGACGACCCTGATTTGGGAATAGGTGGGGAAGTCTACTATAGGATGCGAGAACACAGTAGTAATTTTGTAATTCATCCTATAACGGGTGTCGTGACGTTAACGAGACGACTCAGGTATACTGAGAGGAGGTCATATGACGTCACAGTACTTGCTCAAGACCGAGGTGACGCTGCAACTACCAACCCTCCGAGTGCGGCAAAACTGACTGTAACGGTCAAACCGGTCAACCTTCACGACCCTGAAATCTTCGTAAAACATTTTCAAGAAGTAAACCAATCGTCGGACATGAACGTTTATGCTGTAGTAACCGTTGTAGATAAAGACGAAAGAAGAAACGGTGAAATAGAAGGAGTTGAGATAGTCGATGGAGACAACAATGGTCATTTCCGAATCAAACGAGTCCATAGCCCGAACAATAATACGTTTGAGTACAACATAGTTAGCTACAAAATATTAATTAGAGAGAGATATAGTAAACAATACAACCTAACGTTAAGAGCAGTTGATAAAGGCACGCCACCACGAAAATCTTACCTGTCAGTAATTGTAAGGGTAGAACCAATTTTCCAAAAGAATCCCATTTTTGAAAAGGAGATTTTTGAAATAAATATAGCGGAAAGCGCTCCTGTAAACTCTCCCATAATAAGGTTAAAAATGTCTGAAAGTGACCAAGTATATCACGAAGAAGTACAGTTTGAGATAGTAGGAGGCAATGAAGAGAAGGTGTTTAAAATAAATCCTCAAACGGGTATGCTTTATACAACTACTGAATTAGATGCCGAGGACAAAAACCTATACATTCTGACAGTTTCTGCTTTAGAACAAGGTAAATCGGGTTTTAGCCTGCAGTCGTCTGCTAAAGTTAAAATCAATATTGTCGACATAAACGATAATGACCCCATTTTCGAAGTTCCAGTCATGAATGTCTCAGTAACTGAGAATGAACCACCAGGAACTGTAATAGCTAAAGTTGTGGCTAAAGATAGAGATTCAGGAGAGAATGGATACATCTCTTACAGCATTGCAAACTTAAATTCTGTTCCTTTTGAAATAGACCATTTTACAGGTGTCATTAGAACTATTGAAACTTTGGATTATGAAACTATGAGACGAGAGTCTCTGTTGTACGTAAGGGCGTCAGATTGGGGTTTACCGTTTAGAAGACAGACGGAGATGGAACTCAGGATCAAGCTACGTGATATCAATGACAACAAGCCACAATTTGAACGGGTCAATTGTTCCGGATCGTTGTCCCGATACTCGCCCATCGGGTCGGAAGTGATGTCGTTAACTGCAATTGATTTCGACTCTGGCAATATTATCAGCTATAGAATTGTTTCAAAGAACACAGAGGGTTGTTTCAATTTGGATTTAACGTCAGGAATTCTTTCTCTCGCCTGTGATTTAAGAAATGAAAACTTTACCGAAAAGACTTTAAACATTACTGCCACAGATGGCGTTCATTACTCTGATATAAATAGAATAATCATAAAAATCGTAAACGATATCCACACTCGAAGACGTAATTTTGATAGCGACAATTTCGTTTGCACGGAGACGGGAGCTGCAAAACAATTAAAAGATATTTTAGCAATAGCCACTAAGAATAATGCCGTTAAATCTCCTGACCACAGGGATATTTCGGTGATGCCCAAAAGATACGGTGAAAACATTCACGCTCCTGAAATACTAAACATGCCAGCTACCGTTCAGGTCAACGAGTCTGTGCCACTAGGGAGTAAAATAATAAAAATACAAGCAAAGGATAGAGATTTGGGTTACAACGGAAAGTTGGTTTACGGAGTCATATCTGGTGACAAAGATTCCCTATTCCGGCTCGACCCAGAAAACGGGATATTAAAAACTATCGGTCATTTAGATTACGAAAAAGACACCGAATACACGCTAAACGTAGTTGTTTTTGACCTTGGAAAACCTCAAAAATCCTCGACAAGCTATCTTACAATAATAGTTTTGGACAACAACGACAATCCACCCAGATTTCAACAACCCATGGCCAGTACAAAAATATCAGAAAATATTTCAAACGGAACAGCTATTTTTAAGGCTATAGCAATTGACCAAGATACTGCAGAAAACTCTCAGATAGTCTACTCTCTGGCTACTGAAACGGATACTTTCGTCATTCACCCGACAACTGGAGTACTCTATATCAACACTCCTCCTGATCGTGAAGTGCGCGACTGTTACGAAATTAAGATACGGGCCTCCGATCGTGGAAACGATAAAGAGTCAAGGATGGCTTTACACGCAGAGTCTATACTGCTCGTTCACGTAGACGATGTGAACGATAACGCGCCTTTGTTTGTTAAGCCATCGCTAACAGTGAAGGTGAAAGAGGATATGCCAGTAGGTAGTTCGGTCGCCGTGCTAGAGGCTAGTGATGTAGATCTAGGGGTTAACGGTGAAGTAGTATACTCCATTAGAGGGAACCACAGTTTCGCGGTGGAACCTCTCAGTGGGGCGCTGAGACTGAAGTATCCCTTGGACTACGAGGAGCGGCACGTGCATCTGGTGAATGTGACGGCTTGTGACCGAGTGACGCCCTCGCTGTGTACAGACGCTGTAGTCACTGTGCGAGTGGTGGATGTGGACGAGAATGTACACGCGCCTGTGTTTGAGCACTGGGCGGTGAGTGCTGAGGTGGCGGAGAACCTACCTCCAGGGGCGCTGGTCACCGTGGTCAAGGCGACTGACGACGATCCTCCAGGCGAGGATTCCAGGATCAGCTACCACATCGGTGGAGGTGACGGCGTCGGCTACTTCTCTATTGACGATGATGGTGAGTTGAAACTATTAATTATGCATACAGTTTCACAATAGTTATCTCAGGCTTTAGTCAGCAGCCGTAGAATAATATAAATTAATTATGTTTCAAGAGTGTATTAAAATTGTTTATGATAAGACCCAAATACATTATCGGATTTATAAATAATAAGTAGGAGAAAAAACTGTTTATTTTTTATTATGTGGATATTTTCTTCCCCAAGTCTCTGAATTTGGTCTCTGAATTTCAAAGTAAAATTTGACGAAGATGAACTGTAAACGAGTTGGATCAATATATTTTTTGTGCAATCTGTGAAACTAAATTATAGTCAGAAAGATATTCCAGCCAGAAAGATTTATGAGTAGTATTTTTATTCCGAGTTTCAAAAGATGCAGTTATACAATTTGTTCGCTTTTTCAATATTCATTGAAATATAGTTTACTCATCTTTGGTGAATGAAAAAATTTAAATACATTCCGAGAGAGTTCCAAGTTTTTTTATACTGTACAAACCCCTCCGTTCTTTTAACTAGTCAACAATTTTTTTGACACCACTTAACATACATTTTCTAAAACCCATGTGATAAGATTTTAAAAATTATTCACGTGATTTACACAATTTTTTTGTGAATTCATACTTTTTGAATAAAGAAAAACTCCCTTTTCTCTATAGTCTTAATGAACCAACTATATAACTGCAATAACACATATATTTCTTGCAATATAAATATAGTAATTTTAATCACCCATGACGTTCTGTATGATCAAATAATATAAAATAGTTTTAACATTACTTTTATACGAGACGTATTAATCCAAGGAGTGTAGAATACAAGGTTTCAACCATCTTACACATCTTTGGTTAGAATAAAGTTTAAGCGCATAAAATATAAAGAGAACAGCGTACGTTGTCTTCTAGTTCAGTGATGTGGATGATATATTTATGTTTTAAAGAGATGGATATTCCGCAACCTCATAAAATACGATCGTAGATTACAAAGAGTGCAGAGCATACAACATCACGTCCGCCATTGAAGAGCTTATGAAAAATTCCACCACCGAGTCTACTTTCACCTGTTTTTACTTCAATGGCAGCATTAGGCGTTTCTTTGTAACACTCCCTTTACTCGGTCGATTGCTCTTATTTTAAAAGATTTTCGACTTTATGAGACGACATTTGTAATTTTATTTCTCATAACCTAAATGGTTTGGTAAGCATAAAATTCATCTCTTTAAGAATTATTTTGTATTTAATAAGATTAATGATATCACACAAGTAAAGTAAAATCCAAATAATCCTAAATGACAGAGGAGCATGACTGAAAACGTGTAAGCGGGAGTTAAATACATGCAGAATATATGAATAGCCCTTTTTAGTGATGTGGGACCTTAGTCACATTTTTTACTTCCTCTTATGGGTTGGAGGAGCATGTTTTAAAACGTATAACTAGAAGGATGGAAGGAATATGGATACAGAATAACTAAATACGTTATTTCTTGAAAAAAGCCTGTATGATTTTTTTCTGGATAATTTGTTGGACGTTCCAGATCGCATAAATGGAGGCATTTACGCGAATTAATATAATTCAAATGTAATCAGGGGGCTTCAGTTCAGTAAAATAATAATTTATGAACAACCGAATCGTTATCTTACAATGCATTTTTATTTTTATTTTTTCAGCAATAGCCTTTGAATCTAAAAAAAGATTGTTATACCGTACATATGATAATCGATTTTATTCTAAAAGTTTTAAGCACGTATTTAGTGAATTTGTTTAAATGGTTTCGTTAGTAATTAGTAGAGAGTGAAACATGGAAGGAATACAATTTCCGATTCCACTAATCAATTCTTTGTTTGAAGTTCATTTTTGGTGATGGTGAGTTAATTTTGTTCAAAGGTTTATTGCGGACATTTTCCATCAAGATGGTAAAAAACAATACACAATGTTTCGGGATCTGGAATCTGATCTTAACTAACACACTACAACTAAAAATACACAAACTACCAACCTAAGTTGGAATACACTACAGAGAGTAGCGAAATCAAGTCATTTCTTTCTATTAAAACTGACCAAATTCTCGGGATAGAGGAATCAGTCTCTAATTAATGCATTTTCAACATGAACTATATTTGAATTACGTTTTGAATGGATAAAATAACCAATAGAATTTGACAAATAGTATCCAGACATCAGGAGATGAAACTAGGCCATAGAATTGTTTATCGACCTCTTGGAAGAAACAATTGAGTAATCCAATCTATTTGGTGGGGTCTTTTTTACGATTACTGTTACTGATCCGAAATAGCTTTTATTGACCCAGGAGATTGTTGTAGACATTGCAAAAGAATCCTTCCGCTGCAAACAAATGTCATAACAAATTGCTTTACTAATAAAATACATGGATTCATACAGATTCTAAAAATTGTATCAATAAGTTTTCTTGTCCAAGGACGCTAGGCTCGATACCGGGATTGTTTTCACATTACTTCAGGCTAGGGGTTGCGGAATTATCACTTGAATAACATCCATTGGTGATTTGGCGGGATTTGAACCCGGGGCCGAAATACCGCACTCTACCACTAGATCAGTTAAAGTATTGTGTAATAGCTGAATATAACTTCACATATAAACAAAAAGCTAAACCTTCCTTGCTCACTAAAGATTGGTTTAGAGTTATAACCTATACATAACAAGCATCTAAAAATGGGTTATAACCCATGCAGCATACAAAGGAGCATTTAACTTTTGTTGTTTCCGACAGACGGTTTCACCATACTAGAGCGAAAGAATATTCATTTTTTATGCCGGATACATTTTACTGTATTTTGTAATGACTATAAACGTATGATATTACCGAATATCTGTCCCACTTATTAATATGTCGGTTTAATAATAATGTTTATTTATAAAATTCCTGTCATGTTCTTTTGGTACAATCTTTATCTTCTGATTTTGATTAGTTAAAAAAAAGAGAAACAATTATACTGTATAACAATTATCTGTAGTATAGAGTTATAAATAGCTAATAAATATAAATATTTCGTTAAATACATACTTGTGCACTAACGAGACAAATTTAGCAATCTCATCGGGGTCAAGTAAGAAACTTTAAGCTTTATTTACTTGTAGCCTTACAATTACCATATAAATAGTGTGTATGTTTATTTTCCCTTCATAGGGAAATTTAAAATTTACAACAATATTTCGTGCAAATTAAATATAAATAAATCTGTACATACGCAGGTACAAATTCTTGAAATTCAAGACTGTGAGTAATCGGTCTGTACTTTGAGTAATACAAGACGAAGGGACGGAACAGGCTCTTGTATACAGACGCTTTTAACTTTAGCTGCTGGATACTTAGAGACACTTGACTCCCCTAACGAGTCTCGGGCGTAAGTGGCGACATCACAGGCCATTCTATAATTATACACCCAATAATATTTTCGTCAATCTACGTTACATTATTTTACCTACTACCGTTTTTAAAATATCCGTTTCAGTCAGTTCTTAGAATTGAACAGATTCAGATTACAGCATTGTTTACTTTCATAACAGCAGAGTTTTACTCATAAAAACACGGCTACCGGACCAATGAGGTCCAAGGATTATAGTCCAGTCAATGAATGATCCAAAAGTAGGTGTAGAGTGCGTGAGCAGGTAACTAAGCGATTCCTTCAGAAACTTGTTCAGGGGGCTTAGGGTGTTAACATACCAAAAGTCCTGACTCCTAGGTGGTGAGCCAGTGGGTGGAGGGGGGAAAAAGGGGGGGAAAAAGGTACGCATTTTGGGTTTTTTGATTATATCTCGAAAACTATCAACTTTTTGTATACTATAGTAAATTATAAAATTGAAGAAGATTAAATTTTCTACAAGAAAAGTATATAATGTGTTTATTTTGGTTCAACAGATTACGAGTTATAACTTATTTAATAGATATCTTATTAAAATACTCCTTCCATAAGAAATACATGTAAATTAGTATGCGAAATGGGGCGAATCCTATCCGCCCAAAGGAAATATAACTGATATTCTAGAAATATTGACAAAATTTCCAGTAATTTGACACTTTAATTATGAAATTTTGTTAAAAATTAAAGCGAGGGTGAGCGTTTAAAAATGGGATGATTTAAGGATTTTTTTATATTTCCAATAAAAAAACACCAAAACTCGAAATTTTGTTACCTCGCCCTCGCCTTAATTTTGGATCAATTTTAATGATTAAAGTGTCAAATTACTGGAAATTTTGTCAAGATTTCCAGAATATCATTTATATTTCATTTGGGCGGATAGGATTCGCCCCATTTCGCATACTCATTTACATGTATTTCTTATGGAAGAAGATTTTAATAAGATATCAATTAAATAAGTTATAACTCGTAATCTGTTGAACCAAAATAAACACATTATATACTTTTCTTGTAGAAAATTTAATCTTCTTCAATTTTATAATTTACTATACTATACAAAAAGTTGATAGTTTTCGAGATATAGTCAAAAAACCCAAAATGCATACCTTTTCCCCCCTTTTTTCCCCCTCCACCCCCTGGCTCACCACCTAGGAGTCAGGACTTTTGGTATGTTAACACCCTAAGCCCCCTGAACAAGTTTCTGAAGGAATCGCTTAGTTACCTGCTCACGCACTCTACACCTCATTCCTTGACTGGACTATTAAGAGAGAGAAGAAGTAAAATTGTAATGATTCTAACTTCAACTAATCAGCTGTTCAGGCCAATTTAATTGTTGAGTGGAGCAATTTAATTAGTGCAATTTAATTAGTGTTTGGTACAATGTTTCGTTTCATCTGTCAGTGGCAATGAGAGGTTATAAACGTAAACATAACCTCCCTTAGAAGTTAACCTCTCTTAGAAGTTATGATTAGTGATTTTTAGTAATTAAAACACTGTCGTAGGTAAGGTAATGTACGCAACTCGCAAAAATAGTGTCGTACCTAAAATTTTTTACTCGTGTCGTTAACACTATCTTTAACTCAATCATTATGCCAAACTGGGTAGTTGGCACAACCTCTTAACTGCTCGTTAATATGTATGGTTATTATTTCACTCATGTTTTTCCTCTGCGTTGAGGAAACCTGCCACACAAATTCTAACGATATAATATCTATGATTTACTAATTGTTTAATAATTCGAAAAAATGCATACATATTTTCAAAATGACTTTTGTAAAGTCGTTTCATCAAACTGTACAAACAAGTTGTGGCACTTTTATCAACAGCTTTACTGTAATGGAAAAGTGGCGGTTGTTATCTCTCTTGCGAACAGCCAACGGCGTGAGTGTTCTCTTGAGGCTGATTCTGCGTTATTGGAGATAGTTCAAAAGAGATCCTTCGTCATTTATGCCGACATTTATAATTAAAGTTAAAAAGTATGTATTTTATATTTTAAATAAATAATCAAAATAACTTCTGTCAATAGTAATACAGGGTGGTCATAAATTATTGAACACATTTTAAGATTATATAAACAAATAACCAAGTAACTTAGAAACATGGGAATTGTTTCATTGAATAGCAAATTTAAAACAGTTTTATACAGTAACTGCAAAACAATAATTATATAATAACAGTAACTGTAAAATGTGGTTATAACAGGTTTGCAAAAATAATTCAAACAGTGAGTGTAAGTTATGTTTTTTTTTTCAATGACTTGTGTTGTGGAATAGTCAGCATGGATAGCATGACATAGTTAGCATGGCAAAACCAACAAATGGATCTTTTTAAACCAACTGTGTATGACATTTTGGTGAATCAAACCTTAAACAGACTTAAGTAACAAAATTACTAGTGTGCAATAAAAAGCAAAGTCTTTGGTTTCATGAAAGCAAATCTGTAATAACATTTCAAAGAAGGCTTCGTTTAGGGTATGGCCGTAATTTTCCGTGTAACAATCTATAAAACGGTGGTACAGACAGTTCGGACGACTGGGAAGTGTCCAACATATAGTCTAAAGGGTCCTCAACTCTGAAGAACATAACTTACAATTAACAGTTTATGTGATTTTTACAGTCTTTTTATAACTACTTTTCATAATTGCTGACATTTTTAAAATTAATTGTTTGCAGTTACTATATAAAACTGTTTAAAATTTGCTATTTAATGAAACAATTCCCACGTGTCTATGTTGCTTGGTTATTTATTTATTTTATCTTAAAATGTGTACAATAATTTATGACCACCCTGTGTAACTTATTCACAAAGCAAAATGGTTTCTAACTTATTTATTAAATTCTATAGCTTGAGGTGGGAGTATTTTATCGCGTAAATAAGTAGTTAAAATGTAAATACATTAAATATATTAAAATTAAAGTAACTAAAATTAAAGTTACCATAAAAACGTGTACAAACGGAGCTGAGTTCAGAGTTTAAACTTTCTATCTGATATGGAAGTTGAATGTGTAATACAAGAAAAGTTTATTGACATTAATTGCAGTAACTAAGTCAAAAACTATATGAGAGGGGAAACTTGGCAGTTTTGTTCACCTGTGTAATGCCTTTTATAATTTTCATTGTCTAATAAAACAAACACTTTAGATGAAAGAACGTGTTTTATACTGTAGTATACTAAATATATTTATTCTGTTCCACATTAATGTTATATAAACTGTACATCTTGGATACAAGTACGTTTAGCGTTCGCAAGAATGAATATTGTCTTTATTGACGTGTGTTCGAAATGTATGTTTCTTGTATTCTTAGGTAAACGTTGGATAGGTTATATCATTTGCTTAGCAAGTAAACTAACATTAGGTTATGTGCACCTGGTTGTTCCAATCGTACAAAATAATAATCTATTATTGATTTATAATAGGTGTGATTCGCACTACATCTACGTTGGATGCGGAATCAGAGAACAACTTTTGGCTGACAGTGTTTGCTCAAGACCATGGCCTTGTTCCTTTAAGAAATCGTTTAGAGGTGAGGAAAATAATTATTTTCACCACACTATGATGTTTTTAGCAGTTACATCCCTAGAGCCGCAAAATCAGCTGCCCGCTTACTTTCTTAAAATACATGAATGCATATAAAATACACAATCAGTATCCATAGCATTGCAATAGAATTGTTTTATTATCACCACTGCCTAGCAACTATTATTAATTTTTCTGATTCCTCAAATTATTTCTTCACATAAACTTAAAGTTGTAGTCGTGTTGAATATCAGCGTGCATTATTATTGTGGTAATTGATGAAAATGCCTGACTTTTGTTATTTGTCATAGTCATACCATAGAATAAATAAACACCAGTCATACTACGGATGATGTGAATGTTTATTTACTGTCAGCTGTCTGTTTTGGTGTCCAAATTTGTTTCATGACTTGTAAACATTGATGAGAAATACATTTGCTTGTTTTATAGTTTAAATTCGTTTTTCTTCGTAGTTATACTTAGCTTATCCCTAAACACCTCCACTTGGGAGAGTAATTCAAGAGCTATAGGGTATAGTGTGGTAAAAAATAGCGTTCGTAAAACGGACCGAAATGGTTTTGTAGCTCTCGATCGGTTAAAAACCAACTCGAGCCGGGAAAACCTCATTTTCGGCCCTAGGTACGAAAGATACTATTGCTGTGCACTGCATTCAAAGAAATTTAACCGTGCAAACAATCGTTATACTTTTTTCTAATATTATTACCAGTTTTAGGGAGTAGCTCAAATATTAGCTTCTTAAATTCTAAAGATTAAAAAATTCTACAGTAGTAGAACGTTGAAGGAGTTATTTTTGTAATGTGCAGGTGTCTGTAACCAACGTGAACGACAACGTACCTCTGACGGTAGAGCCAGTGTACTACCCTCACGTGATAGAACACTCTGTACTGGAAAGGTTGATTGTTGGATTGTGCAGGTGTACGTGTCTGTGACCAACGTGAACGACAACGTACCTCTGACTGTAGAGCCAGTGTACTACCCTCACGTGGTAGAACACTCTCCAGCTCACACTGCAGTACTACAACTTACAGCGGAGGACGCCGACCTAGACCCTGATCTAACATCTACTCTTACCTTTAACATTACCGCGGGAAATGGAGAGGGATTCTTTGAAATTGACTACCAAACTGGTAACGCAATTTTGCATTTAAAGGTTTTGCTATGTATGGTTTTTAATTTTAGCTGTCACCATTTAATTTTAAATTTGCTATCTTTTCAATATCATTGGTATTTTGAAAGTAGTTTTGTTCTATAAAGTTATAGCCATTGAACATATGCAAATTTTTATTTTAAAATTTTAGTTGAAATATGTTTAAAGGCGCACAGTGTCATTATTGATTATTGGGACCAGCCCTAGCGTTACGTTGCTTAAGAAACATCTGTTAAGAAAATAATAATTCGTTTAAATTCTCTGAGAAGATAAATAAATTTAGAGGCATTAATTCACAGTAATATTTCAAGAAAGAGGCAATAAATTTTAAAATGTCCTCCAGTTTTTTTAAAATAATGTTTTATAATATCGTAAAATAACAAATTGATGTATTCCAACAAATCATTTCACTAAAACCACGGCTGTCATTGGAAAAGCTAATCCTCTATAGATTTGCACAGTTGTAAAGTAATTTTTGAAACACCGTACGTAGAGTAATGGCTCCAAGCTTACTGAGTGTAGGATTACGCTGTGAATTAGTTTTGTTATAGAAAGAGGGACGTAATTACGTTTTGGCTGATGAATGAACTGTGCAACAATTAATTGACAACTTAGAGGTTTAATGAACGATTCTAAATAGATAAACCCAGCAACTCTTTTATAAAAACATTGTTTTATCAACATTTTTTTTTCATTTACATTGCTCATCATTTGTAGCACATAAAAAGATGAATTTTCCTCCCTAATACGATGCTAAGGAATTATAATCAAGTCAATCCAGGGGTTTCAGAAAAAATTTACCATCAGGCTGGGTTTTTTCCATCAACTTCTGCCATGTAGACAAGTATCTAGCAAAATGTCTACACCCCTACCGCCCTTGACTTTCCCCTACAGTCCTACAAAGATTTTAATGGTGGATAAATGCAGTACTTTACAAATTTGCTTATATTTCAGTAACTTTATTCGAGATAGACCTTACTTGATGTTTTTATATTAAAATTACGGTCTAAAAACTATTTATCTAGGTTTTATGTTTATTTTACTAGTTTATTAGTTATTTTCATGTTTCATAAAAAATAACACTATTTTCCATTGTATTCACATCAAATCATTTTCTCGTTTTTCTGCCCTGTGAATAAAATAACTGATACAGTTACTGTTGTAGTAATGTTAGTGCTAGAGTAATAGAAAATCATCTTTGCTATAATCACTCATTTATCTTTTTCATTTCACTTAGAATCTTTTATTTTTAAACCAGAAAATTTTATAAAGCCAGTGAAATTTGATACCAGAGTTATTAAAGTTAATTACTAACGAACTAAAAAAAAATACAAAAAATAAAAATCGGATGAAAACATGGAACTCCAAAGAAAGAGACTTATGATAAACCATATGTTATTAAAACTTTGCAGACCTAGGTTGTTCGAATCATCAATACTTTCTTCTCTTGGATTGAACCTGGCCTAGCAATATGCCTCTAAAAACATAATAGACATTTGTCATTCACTCGAAGTCTCGAACTCTTACCATGAAACCGAGATGTATTTACAATCATTATTAAAGGTAGGCCAACCTTTCTTTTTTTCCAGTTCATTTTTGAAAACATAGACATTAATTGAGAACCCTAGATGGAAAGTACATTTTTTCATGCCCTCGGTGGGATTGATATAACACAAGAAACTGCAGTTTTTAGTAGTTTAAGAGTGCCATGCAATAGTGCTTTCATGTTTCTGCTGTCACAATATCAAGAGAGCTCTTCAGAGCTCACCTGGATAGGATGCCTTATATCTATATTCACTTAAAATTAATATAACGTATTTTTCTAAAAAAAAAGTTGTTTTGTTCTCCTATAACAGTTGTGAAAACTATTATTAATTTTAGTAAGGTAATAAATAGAAAGAATAACAAACAAATAAGTACAGCTGAGATGGAAGGTTCCCTCTAGAAAGAAATTACTATATTAAAGATCAATTTATGAGATAATGGATAGTTTTGCGTAAGGTTTCTCGTCTTGATGAAAATTTTAAGTATATGGTTTATGGGGGTGTGACTTTTAGTTTTCTCGAAAGTTCATAGGTACTTTGGGATTTAGATATAGATTAGGGACTTTATGTTTTAGTAATTAATATTATATAATTTTGTTGCAAGGTTTGCTGTCCACGACCAGAAACAAAATTGACCGTGAATATCAAGCGGAGCATGACTTGGAGGTAATATTAGAATACAATTTTTAAGGTATATTTTTACTTAACCAAAGTTTAGAAGACTGAGACTAACAGTTTGAAATATCAATAACAACAATTTTAACAAAGTAAGCAATTTATTTTATGTTTTACAACCTTGATTTTAATTTGCAGATCACAGTTAGTGACAATGGGGAGCCTCCACTGTGGTCAACTACAAGAGTTGTTGTTATTGTTGACGACATCAACGATCACGCGCCGCAGTTTGAGCAGTCCTTCTATCACGTGATAGTTCCTCAAACACCGAGACTTCATCGCGATCGGGACAAGCATAACACAGTTCAGGTAGGAGAAGAATATCAGTGTTAAGTAGTATCACTAGTACTTGATAACACTTGGTACCTCCAAGATCGGGACAAGCATAACACAGTTCAGGTAGGAGAAGAATATCAGTGTTAAGTAGTAACACTTGTACTTGATAACACTTGGTACCTCCAAGACCGGGACAAACTTAACACACTTCAGGTAGGAGAAGAATATCAGTGTTAAGTAGTATCAATAGTACTTGATAACACTTGGTACCTCCAAGACCGGGACAAACTTAACACACTTCAGGTAGGAGAAGAATATCAGTGTTAAGTAGTAACACTTGTACTTGATAACACTTGGTACCTCCAAGACCGGGACAAACTTAACACACTTCAGGTAGGAGAAGAATATCAGTGTTAAGTAGTAACACTAGTACTTGATAACACTTGGTACCTCCAAGACCGGGACAAACTTAACACACTTCAGGTAGGATAGGAATATCAGTATTAAGTAGTACCACTAGTACTTGATAACACTTGGTGTCCAAGACCGGGACAAACTTAACACACTTCAGGTAGGAGAAGAATATCAGTGTTAAGTAGTAACACTTGTACTTGATAACACTTGGTACCTCCAAGACCGGGACAAACTTCATATTTCACTTCAGGTAGGAGAAGAATATCAGTGTTAAGTAGTACCACTAGTAATGGATATGTTGCACTTGTTACCTCCAAAACCGGGAAAAACTTCATATTTCACTTCAGGTAGGAGAGGAATATCAGTGTTAAGTAGTAACGGTAGTATGAGTTATGTTACACTTGGTACCTCCATAGAGGTTTATAAACGTTTTTAAATTTACAAATCAAACCATATCGATTATAAATCGACGTACCGACTAAACTGTGGATAGTATTCGTGTTTAAATATCACAATAAAATGTGTTGACACGAGCTAACTCATTGATAAAAATCAAACGGAGTGTTTTGTTGTCAACTCATTGAATCAAAAACATATTTAATCGTGACTTACATAATTAATCTGGTGAAAAATTACAGATAGAAGATAACGGTGGTGCCGAGAATGGTGACTCGCCATGGGACTCTCTTCACAAGGCTGCGACTGGCGAACCGTTAATAAGGGTGAGATTGAGTGGAAATTCAATTATTGCTAGTTATTGATATTTATTTATAGGTTCTACGTCGTTCTCAATGACTTATTCTATTTCTTACAGTTACAAGCCACTAATACAAGAATCAATGTACGTATTTTGGTAAGCAATAATACTGTAGATATCTTAATTATATTATAAATAAAACACGATACTTTTTAACTGAAGATCTGTGTTATTTTTTTTTATTTGATTAGTCGTGAATATAAATTAATACTAACATAATTTTTGTTCACTATTCGTAATCTCGTTTGTCTACATTTTTATATATTGGTGGCCCATTGATGAACAAAAAAATCCCTTTACTTAATTGAAAGCACAAAGATAGCCACAATAAGTGTGGTTACACAAAATCTTAACGTTGTTCTTGGGAGAAAAGAATAAAATAAAATAAAGTCTCCATTTAGTTAGTGGCTAGCTACATGTGCCTATAAAAGTACTTTAATCCAAGAGAACTGTTCTCTTATGTGTGGTTTTAGGTTCTGGCGACAGATAAAGACTCTGGTAGTAACGCCGATATCGAGTACAGTATCAAGACCGGGCGTGGCAAGGGGCGGTTCCACATTCACCCTGAGATGGGAGTCATCTATTCCCACAAACCTTTCTCTGTGGGACAGGAGTTCGAGTTGATGGTATGGCTTTGTCCTACAACTCTTTATCTGTATTTATATTGATCCGCTTATGATTCACTACTTTTCAATGTTCAGTAGGGTCAAGATTATTGAATCATATTAAGTTGTTTTAAGTCTTGATGGAGCTTTTAAAATTTAACTAGTTTTCCCACTCTTTGTATTTATTCTAGAAGATTCCTACTTTTTTGTGGTCCCAGTTTCATTAATTGAAGCTCTTGACTTGAAGCCCTTGGGTCCTCTATTTCTAGAAGATAATTGAATAATTTCTTCCCCTTTTTCCTCCTTGTAGCCTAAGCACATTTCAAAACCAGATAGCTCCGTCCTCATTCAATTCCTTAAAACCCTTCAAGTATTCAATTTATGTACCCTCGCTAAACGAATTATATTTTATTTATTATGTTTCCTTATAAATCAATATTCCTCCTTATATATTAATTTTTCAAGGAATCCCCACTGTTTTGCCTTCTGCCACTCGCTTAAGAACATTTATTACTGTAGCCACAAACCTTTCTATATAGTTAAAAATTACTAACCACTGACCTATATTTCAACACACTGCTTATTGCGTTTGCCAATTGTTTTACTCTTGCACCTACAGGTGAGGGCGACTGACCACGGGTTCCCCAACAAGAGCTCGACTGCTCGTATCGTGGTCCAAGTGGTTGGAACCTCCGAGGCCAAAGGCGCTCCTTTCGTCGCACAGAAGACTCAGAGAGTGGAGGTGACTGAGTCAGACCCTGTAGGTTTTCTAGTGGCTCTCATACAAGCTACACAAGACGCCGACTACTTGTGGTTTAAAATTCTGGGTTAGTTCTCTAAGATAAATATTATTTATGTATCCGTTTGTAGGGGTTTTAAACAAATTAAAAATAATATTAATGGAGGCCGAAGTAATGTTGAACATTTTTTGAAGTAAATTGTGTTGAAGTTTATTTGTTTAAATTAGTTTAGTTTCTTATTTGAACTGTTTTTGTTTTTGTATTTTGAATATTTCTCGTATTTTCTTTTTAAAATTTGTTTGTAATTTGATCTTTTTGTTAATTGTTTGATATAAAAAGATATTCTAAAACCAGTTATGTACTGATGATGCTGGATTAATAAGTACATAAGAACCCTTCTATGAGTGAGTACCTTGAAAAATTTAACATTTCTTATTATTGAGCTATGAGCATATGGTATTGAATGTATATTTATTAATAGGAATTACACATCCCAAGTTTAACCGTGTTATGTCAACAAATTATATTGAAGTATTTAACGTACAACATCCAGAATTATTTTTAATTTATTGTTACATAAGTCGTAAAACTTCAGTATTTCTATAATCAACAAGGCAGGCTAACACGGTAGGCGTAGTTTATCAGGGGTTGTAGGTCGAGGTCGTAGTGAGGCAGGGTAGCGGGTGGTAAAGGTCACCACATACATCACCGCCCGCTCTACAGTCAAAGCTACCACCGACAGTGTCAAACAGTTCCCAGCTTATCGAATTGTAGTTAGAAAACATCGATAGCTTACAGAACGTTTCGCTGTTTTAACAAACATCACATCAAGTATAATTATTTTCAGGGTTAATTATATCGCAAGAAGTAATACTTGTTGTCATATCAAATCAAATCTTGTCAACCAAACTAATGAGTAGATTTTGTATGCATGTACCAGTCGTTATGCCACTAAAAGAAATTACACTCATAATGTTATAAATTTTACTTTTTCATGAAAATGGTAGACTTTTTAATAGCCCAAATACTGCACGATAAGATGATGTTTTTTGGTACTACAGTTGCCAAGTTTTGTTATAATTTTTATCGAATAAGTTTTAAGAACCTTACAAATAATAAAACTACAATATGTATAATTTGATACATTACAGATGGAAATCCCAGAGGAGAGTTCGTGATGGGAGGAGATCCAGGGAGTCTCCTATTGGCCAAACAACTAGACTGTGAGACTCAGGCAGAGTATAATTTGACTGTAGCGGTGACCAACGGCGTACATTCCGTCCTTGCCCAGGTTGGCCTGTACATTTAACTGCATATTTAGCTTACGTGTCTTAACGTGTGTATACATATGTTTGAAGATTCTTGAATTTCAAAATCTAAGTTCTATGTACAGTATACCGTTTTCCAGTCCTAGAGATGCTTTCCTTGACCTTCCCCGTACCCCACGCCTCTCTGCCTGGCCTACATCATCGTTCTAAATTTGTTCCGACACTCCCATTACCCTACGTCTCCATCTCTCTCCTACCTCACCCCACTAAGCCCTTCCTTGTCTACCTTATGACACCTTCCAGCCGTCATGAATCTTTTCCAACACTCCATGTACGTTGAATTCCCTTAACACAAACGCTGATCAAAATCCTTCCCGTATTTTCTCACTTACCCTGTGTCGCGTCCACTAACCTACATAGCCACCCTGAACCCTCCCCATCATTTCGATGATTTGTTAATGTTTCCCCATTTTTTCCAGGTGATAGTAAACGTGTTGGACATAAACGAGCACCGGCCGGAGTTCCCCCAGGTGGAGCTGTGGGCTGTGGTGTCGGAGGCGGCGTCTGTGGGCTCTGTGGTGACTGTGGTACAAGGCAGTGACGCGGATCGTGGTGGATCTGTGGTATACGAGCTACACAACGCTCAGAGTCCAGCAACACTCACAATCTTTGCTCTGGAACACGAGACTGGGCGACTAATACTCACCGGACCTCTGGACAGGTCAGTTGCAGACACGAGTGACAGAGACAAGAATTATAAATACAGTTTTACATGCAATGATAATGATATGATTAATCGGAGTGTATATTTCACCTGACTATGGACTTTACTAGTCCATCTCCTATTTTACAACACCCATTCCTATTTTAAAGCTGTCGTCAGTAACTATGAATGTAGTCGAATTGAACCACCAACTCGTACTGGGACGGGTGGCGTCGTCCTGTAATCCAGCTATTAGGAGGTTACGAATTGTGGATATTTATAGGCATGCACTGTGGATGCGATACTCCCTGGTGTGGATTAACGTCAGCACGAGTGAGTACTATGACTATCCGCAGTACTAACCTGAAAATTAGACTAAATTCGTATATATCATGGCAAAAATGTGGTTCGGATTCCACTATAAACTGTAGGTCCCTTAGTTGCCATTAGCTGTACGGGCTATTAATTAACAGCTGTTTCTAAGGAATAAGTCGGCCTTAGTCACTAACAAGACTACAAGATCGCGCCACTCATCCTACACTCATCTCCATTCATACTTGGCTTAAAATACCTACTTTGTATGGTCGCCATTTCATTAAAAGTATAAAAGTATTAAGTACTTTCTGGTTCAATTAACAAATTTATTTTAAATAAACAAAATTTTACAGTTGTTCTATTTTAGAAGTTTAGAGCGCTTTCCATTAAAAGGGTTTGTGATTCTTTCCATTATCAGAATGACTGGCGAGGTGTAAAATCCTATAGACTAAAATACCTATAGGTATGTGTAACCTTATAGATCCTTAAATTACTACTTGCTTTTACACAGAGATGCAAATGTAATGCTATTTTCGCCACACTACTTTGTTTTAATGGACTTTCCACGCATGAATTTAGTCTGGAAAACTGCTGTTTGCCGCCTGCTTTAATCAAACAGGGGTTCATTGTGTACTACTGTATACGGTAATGATTTTTTACTGGACATTAACTGTATATATGGCAAAGAGTGGCCATAAACAAAAAGCTAAAACCTCTTAGAAGTTATAAGTAGGGATCGTTGATACTCAATAAATCTTGTCGTGTAAGTATTAACTACCGTTACAATGATTTTTCTTAATCCTCGTCGGAAGTATGTGGGCTTACAGTATTTAGTTTTTTTATTTTATAAACTAGTAGTTTGAGACCCTGTAGAAGATAACTTCTCCCTTTAGGTCTATAAAGGTTTCCACAAAAAATATATTCTCGTATTGTGACTCAAACACTCAAATCGATTTATTAAATGAATGTATTGGAATTTCGTAATACTCTCTAGCCACTATGATTTTAATTGCATTATAATATTTTACTTGGAATGAAATCAACGCTCTTACAAGATGTGTTTTGTTGGTAACGGAATCCACATTTCTTGCTTCACCCAATTAACTTTTAGCGTTTACATAGTAATTTAATGGAGTTATCTTTGGTGTTAATTAAACGGATTGTGTTAATCGTATGATCAAATGTTATGAAAATTGTCATTTAAGTAAACTATGAAAGATGTTTGTGTTTGATTTGGTGATTGTATTTGTCCAATACGAAAACCTATTAACTAAGAGATGTTTTCTAATTGATTTCAGGCAAAGGAATTATGGTTTGTATACCAATGTTTCCTCTAAAAAGCAAATTAACATAGAGTAATAAAAAATCACTTGAATTATAAATTCATATTTTAGTAGCTAGTATCTTTAAATTAATGTTGATATATTTATAATAACAATCAGTGATTTCAGAAGTACGGTACTTTTGGAAGAGTATGCTGTAACAGTAATTTAAACTTTCATAACATGAAAATGGAGCGAACTTTGATTGTTTGGTAGAGACTCAGTTGTCTAATACAGGCGCGGTTTGAACAATGTGTTTCACTAATGAAGGGGTTTAGTGGTGTATAACTCAACCCGTGGTTACATGTAAAACTTTTATAGCCATAAACCTACCTGTGATCAAGTAGTTCATTTTAGTTCTGGTTTATTTATTTGCTGGTTTATTTATTGGTTTATGTTTTGCGTTATTTATCTTATATAAACATAAAATGTCTGATTCATTGATTAGTTTTGTATGTTTTATTACTTCCTTTCATTCTAAAAATAACTTTACAAACTTATGGGCTTTTATCTAATATATTTTCCAAATTTAACAATTTAACTAGGATTTCTATATTTTTGTACAATATATCGATAGTTTATTCAGGGTATTTTCTGATGTTAGCTTCACTCACTTTTATCCGATTGTGTACAATGAACGAACTCTGAACAGCTTCAAAGAGCGGCCAAACAAATTACATCACCAACCATTTGCATGGAACAATCCATTCAGCTGTACAGTTAGAAGCCGTATAGAGGATGAGGACACGGATTTTTTTACAAATGGACATGCCGTGTTGAAATACATATACAGACTGTCCCAAAAGTCCCGGACCGGTTTCATATTTTCTAAACGACAACAGATAAATCAATAATATTTTGCACATCAACACCACACCTAAAAATCTACTTTTTTAAGGAACTATCAATTTTCTGTCATATCATGGAGACGTCCCGCAAGGAGTCAGAAGGAAATCTTAAATAGAAGCATAGGTTGACATGTACATCAAATTAAAGGTCTTTACTAGCAGAATATAATGCCGCAAATTTGAACTCAAACGGATTACTGAGTAAAAAATGGCAGCCGTTCAAAGATTTCTTGAATCTGCCATTTTGAATCTTTGAACGACTGCCATTTTTTACTCAGGCCTTCTTTTGAGCTTGAATTTACGGCATTGTTATCTACTAGTGAAGACCTTTAATTTGATGTGTATATCGACCTATGCTTACGTTAACAATTTTCTTCCAATTCCTAGGGCTGTGCCCCCCGAGGAGTAAGCGTATAATAGCAATGCAAATAAAATGCATCTTTGAACCACTGTCATTCTTGACTCGGTTGTCCGTTGAGTTCAAATTTGCGGCATTATATTCTGCTAGTAAAGACCTTTAATTTGATGTACATTTCAACCTATGCTTCTATTTAAGATTTCCTTCTGACTCCTTGTGGGACGTTTCCATGACGTGACAGAAAATTGATATTTCCATAAAAAAAGTAGATTTTTAGGTGTGGTGTTGATGTACCAAATCTTATTTATTTATCTGTTGTCGTTTAGAAAATATTAAACCGGTCCGGGACTTTTGGGACAGTCTGTATAAAAGAAATAAAAGAAGATAATAAAAAAATTGATTTTTTTTTAATCCTGTCATCAAAGGTTTAATTTGGGTCTGGATTATTTATTTGCTGCGAATGTTTGTGCGTCATTCATATATAAATAAAATTCGAGTTTTGTCTGTCTTAAATAGAAATATAAAAGCATATAAAAAAATAAATCGATAGATTTTTCATATTTAAACGCTTCCATTGATTCTATAATGAGCTCGTTTATAAATTTAACACTTTACATTAGATTTTAATGTGTATCGGTCATTTATCCAGGGGTTTTGTATTGGGAGAAGTAGCTTCACGTGTTTTCATCGGTTTTGTACAACGAAACGCACCCTTAATCAGCTTCAAAGAGCGTTCCAGCCCACCTAAACCACTAAAGCTTTTGCATGAAAGATTCCATTCAACCGTAGAGTTAGGAAACAACGTTGGCTGAATTCTGTTAATCAGTTTTATGATTACTTTTCTTTTAATTTACTTAATGACTATTTTCAGTACCATATTATGTACAAGTGTTTTTTTTTATGAAAGTGGTTGTAAACCACGAATTGCTTGATACAAAAATTCATTTTCGTCGTACTCCAGTAAAAATAGCCTTTTTTAATATATGCATTGCGGGGCTTAATCAGCTCTTTTGTTCACCAGGGAGTAAACACAATTTTTATTCCCTATGGAGTAATAATTGGCTGTTGTAAGCCCAGATATAAACTTTGATTGTAAGTAATCGCACGTATCGAAATTGAAGAAATTTATTTCGTCGGATGTATCTTATTATTGTATATTGTTGTCAATAGTTTGACATATCGGTAGTATAATGTACACTAGTAAAACGTAATGGACGAAATCTAGACAGCTGCTGGTTTGCATTCGTAAAATTTAAAACAAGTTGGAAGCCTTTTTGAGAGGTTATCTTTACATGAAAAGTATTTTAAAATTGTAACTTAGTTTGTTTAAATAATAGTACGATGTGACAAAAATATAGTTCATCACGTGGACGTGTCTTTTCAACCTTCGCTCATTATCCTAGTGAAACTTGTGGTCTTATGTATTATCTTGTACTGTTAGTTAAGGCAGAAAAAAGAGCTCAAGTCAACAAATAACTCTGTTGAATCGTACCAGATCTGTATCACAAGGATGCAACACTCGCCACTAAACGTAATTTTACAAGGAAATGAATATTCGTTACAAATATAAGACTTTCTATTATACTTCGTTTTTAGAGAACGCAACGTAGAACACGTAATGACCGTAGTGGCTAAGGACAACGGCACGCCGTCCAAGAGGAACTACGCGCGTCTACGAGTGACTGTGGAGGACAGCAACAACCACGCGCCACAGTGGAGTCATCAGCTGATACAGGGATATGTGCTGGAGTCAGCACAACTAGGCTCCACAGTCCTCACTCTCTTGGCTACTGACAAAGACCATGGCAACAACGCGCAGATACGCTACTCAATACTGTCAGGTGTGTTGGATGAATCTCCCCTCAAAAGTCAACATCCAAGAAAGTATGGTTTAAATTACATAAAAAAGTTATATTTTAAAATTGAGTTCGTGTACCGTAGCCATACATAAAGCCTCTTAATAGTAAAATTCAACATATTATATAAACATTATAATTATGTGACAGTTTGAAAAAAAAACTAAGAGGTAATTTTAAATTGTGGAAGAATGGGAAGGATATGTTATTAGCTATCAGATGGTAAACTAAGATGAACATTTTTAGTTGTTATGCAAAATCCTGAGACAAAAATATCTATCGTGCCAAACTAGATAAGTCCTAATAGATATGTCCTAATAGTTTATATAATAGTTGTTTATATATTAGCTTATAATTACGTACTTTTCAAAGCATATACAGTAGCTTCTCTATCGAGTCATTATACAAAACGTAATTTATCAGATAAACTTATCAAGTTCAAGTAAATTTGGTCTTCTTTTAATACTTAAAATATATTAATTATACTGTAGTAGAGTGATATTTCACTTTTTAAGTGATATTTTGACGCCACAAACATTTCGATTCAACATTTACGTTCACAAGTCCGTAACCTAGAATATCCTGTCAATGCCAGGTTCAGGAGGTTACAAAATCGTTGACATGCTACCTTAAGCCTTGTATACCCAAACGTAACAAATGACTGCATTTGTGTGTTTAGGCAACATCGGTAACACGTTTCAAGTACACCAGAGTCTTGGCACCTTGTCTCTGAGTGGCACTGTGGACCAGTCTAGACTCAGTGAGTTCATGTTGACAGTCCAAGCTAAAGACGGAGGGGAACCTCCACTCTCTACCACGGTGCCCGTACACATTCTCGTCATCACGGCCGATGAGACAGCTCCAAGGTGCGTTACATAAAATACCTAAGACCAAAAAAAAATTACATCTCAACGCGATAGTTTTCCATCTCATACCGATGGTTACATCTCAACGCGAGATGTTGATTTTTTTATCACTCCTTTTGGAGAGCTCTTTGATATGACACCTTTAATTCCCCACCTTCACATCCTGGACACAAGGGTTCTAAGCCGAAACTGTAACTTAACACCTTACCGTTGTTTTATATGATACAGGTTCACTCAACGATCCTACACAGTGCAGATCTACGAGAACGAGCGCGCTGGATCGCTAGTAGAGCATCTGGACGTAAGAGCGTCTTCCTCCGTCTTTTTCGAGATCGTCGAAGGTGACGCCAACCATGAGTTCGCCGTCAACCCTAGCACAGGATCTGTCACCACATTGGTCCCACTAGATCGTGAACTCACTGAGTCGTACAACCTGACTGTAACAGCCACTAACTCGGTGAGTTGAGCAATTACGACACATCAACCGATGAAACAATTGATCATTTCATTTCCTGTTCACTAATCTACGTAATGTACAGTATGTTTTTTATATATTTTAAACTAATAGATTTGTTTGAAAAGTCCATTTTGAATTCTACAGACATTCTATCCCCATGTTAAATTTGTAGCCAGTTTTTTTACCAAAATTGTCGTAGTTGATGTGAGCTACCGACAGATTGTGCTGACCTAAATTACTGATTTCTGTCGAATGCACAATCTTTATTAACAATTCGAGCTAATGGAACGACTGATTGAGCTATAACAACTGTTTTGACCCCTCAACTTGGCCAGCAACAAAAATGAGGTAGAAAATAGATTTTTAGTCACTAGCGCATTCTGTGTCTTGCTCACACAACTAAGTTCTTAAAAAAAAAAAAATTGGCCACAGCTGGTCCATATAGATGGGACGTCTACTTCAGTATCCAATAGTAAATGATTCTACCCACAACCATGTGTTGTGTTTAGGGCGGCTCCAAGGCAGTGTGTAACTTACTCGTCAACGTTCTGGACAAGAACGATAATCCACCTGAGCTGGTGGGACCTACTGACATCTACGTAGGTCTGGTACCAGAAGACGCCCCAGTGGGTTCTCTGGTCATGACCAATGGCAGCAGTCCTCTCATCATCTACGCCACCGACGCTGATACTCAATCCAACGCACTCCTGTGGTTCAAGATACTAGAAACAGCCGCCGCAAGCATGTTTTACATCGATGGTTTTACAGGTAACTAACTATATACGTAATAGGAGAATAAAAACATTGTCATAGAAAAACGTTTTGTTGGTTTATTTAACAGTATTTGTATATTTAGTTTTTGGAAACGCGTTCCAATCCATTGTCCAACTGCTGTTAGTGAATAGAATAGCTTTTATTTGGTTTTCTTTACTGTTTCATAACCCGTATATGACTCACTCTACATTACGAAAACATCATATCTCTAACGGTGTTCTCATTCAAGGAACGTACTGACCTACAACTTAGCTTGGTTATGAAGGCGATCATAAGCTTTGATTTCCTGGGGGAATGTGGTCTATGACTTTTTCATTGAGGGCAGTTGATTTACCACCGTAGCAGGTGTACAATACATCGAAACAAACCTCTCTTTTATTATTTGTTATAACATACTGCACAATTTTTTTAATATAAAATATTTTATACTTTAATATTTCATATTATATTGTAACAAGGAATAAAATATATAGGTTATAAAAACCAAATGATATAAAAAATTTAGTATATATTTGTATACGAGGTATGCAAACAATTGTTTTACACGAGTAAATAAAACAAAATATTTAATAAAAAAATGCAATAGAAGAAAATTGAATTCAGAACCTAAGACCCTAGGCGGCGTAACGGGTAGTCCATTTCTAGACCATAACAACGCGTTTTTATCCTTCCCAGAGCTGTAGTCCACGAGCACAATACAAGGTGGCAATGAAATCTGGTCATTATTAAATTTAGGCTAATAATGACCAGAAAAAGATTTGTTTTTCACTGTGGCCTTCAAAACCTATAATAAATTTCCCAACTCTCTTAGATATCTAGACCGGATAAACTTGATTGAGAGGCACCTTGAGAAACGTCTACTATTTTGTAGACGAATATGTTGATGGCCGAGAATAAATTCGTGCAAATCTACAGCCTAGCTTTGTTTAATTTATGTTAAATGTGTTATGTCATAAAAAAACTCGTTGCGCATTAATAATCATCAACACTCAATAATCACTAGCTCATCAGGTAAAATAAATAAGTAAAATTGATAATAGGGGAGATATTTTTTCAGTTCGTATGTCCAGTAATTGAAATACTGTTTATTTTTAGGCACTATCAGAACCAAGACACAACTGGACTACGAGACTCTGAGTAGTGTGAGTTTCACTGTTCGAGTGTTTGACCTCGGAGAGCCTCGGCTGAGTAGTGACGTCACTGCTAGAGTCTACATCGCCATCCAGGACGTCAATGACTGCATGCCGCGCTTTGTAGAGTCAGAGTACAACTTGTCTCTTCTAGTCCCTCCTTATCCAGACGCACATCTGCTACAGGTATAAATTCATTAAATTAATAGCTTACATTGATTCGTATTACAGATTGGTCAATTCGCAGTAATTTTCATTTAGTTTACTAACGCTGTAAGGAATAATGTTTTCCTGCTCTGTATATCCTGTAGTATGTATTCGGTGTAGTATATCCAGTGAGCTATTCGGTGGTAAAATCTTCCTCTTCTGTGGTGACTTCCGCCAGATCGCACCCGTCGTCGTGAACGCTCGAACGCCATCTGACATTGTTTGCGTTTCACTTCGGGCCTCCCATCTCTGGCAGCACTTCAAAATCTTTGCCCTGACCACAGCTCACCGAACTAGTAGGTGTACGGCCTATTAAGATTTCCTTCTCGACGTAGGCAACGGTACTGTTAGTTCGACAACTTTCTTGGAGGGACGGAACGAACAAAGTCTAATTCCGTTGCTTGGAATTAGACAAGTGACGTCTTTGACTGATTTGGTCGATTCCGTCTTTCCCGAAAACGTCCTACTCGACTCTGATCTGTGTTCGCGACGCGCAATCCTCTCGACTCTGATAGTGAACGTCAAGGAGATCAACGACCACATCTTGAACTCCCTTGACGGTCATCTGTACGAGCTGAGGAGCGCCGACACAGTGGACAGAGAGAACGACGATGGCCTGGATGTCGACGTTCAACTCCTGAACACGGCTACTGGCAAGGGCGTACCAGACCATGTTCTGCGGCTGAAGATCGGCTCTGTTTGCCTAATTATGAGGAATCTCAACATCGCTGAAGGACTCGTCAACGGCACCAAAGTCATTGTAATCGGCATCTCCAACCGTCTGATTACAGTGAGACTTCCCGGACAGACGCAACCTATCGGAATTCCCCGGATTACGTTTACGTTCGCGTTTGTCGAGGGTTCGCCGTTACGTGTTCGTCGACGTCAGTTCCCACTGATGTTGGCCTATTGCATGACCGGACACAAGAGCCAAGGTCAGACAATAGATTCAGTCGGTGTTGATTTACGTACCGATTGTTTCACGCACGGGCAACTGTACGTCTTGCTCAGTATGGTCAGACATCCCGACCATATTGTCGTTCTCGTCCATCCCGAACGTGCCCGAGATGGAATCGCATACGCAAAGAACATTGTGTATGACGATCTCCTTCTCTAAACCGGACTTGACACCAGCAGTAGGCTAGGGGATCTGCTTCATCAAAACTCCCCGTCGTGACTTGACAACACCGGCAGTTGTACATAGGGGGCCTGCCTTACCAAAAGTCCCCGTTGTTGTACATATTTCCTTTTAGTTCTTTTTTTTTAGAAATAAGTCGTTTTTTGTGTGTTTAGTATTCTAGTTTGACAGTACGATAGGGGACGTACCTTATCAAAAGTCCCCGTTTTTGTATATATTTTTTTTCTTTTTTTAGTAGTTAGTTTAGTTTTTGTATATATTTCCTTTAAGTAGTTAGTAAAGTTTACTAACTTGTACATTTGTGAATGATTGTAAATATGGTTCCGACGTTTCCTGGCCTCCTCGTGGCGGAACTGGATATGCCATAAAGTTTATGGCTAACCGACAGGGAAACAAACACTACTTCATCTATTTTAATAAATATATACATGAATATCTACTATAATCTATTTACTTCATATAATACTTTACTATTATCAACTTGTTAACTTATCAATCTACTTATCTTATTCAAAAGTCTACTAACTTGTATATTTTTTAAATAATTGCAAATATGGTTCCGACGTTTCCTGGCCTCCTCGTGGCGGAACTGGATATGCCATAAAGTTTATGGCTAACCGACAGGGAATCAAACATTACTTAATCTATTTTCATAAATATATACATGAATATCTACTATAGTCTATTTACTTCATATAATACTTTACTATTATCAACTTATTAACTTATCAATCTACATCAATCTACTTATCTTATACAAAAGTTTACTAACGTGTACATTTTTAAATATATGCAAATAGGGTTTCCACGTTTCCTGGCCTCCGATCTACTACAATCTATTTACTTCATATAATACTTTACTACTATCAACTTATGAACTTATCAATCTCCTCTTATATATTCATGAAATCGTTATTACTTTAATGTAGATTTTTACTATAACGAACCCTACTCTCCGTATATTTGTACTTCGCTTGACCAACAACTCAGTTGTAAAAATACTTAACTAACATAGTCTCTTACCGCAACTTTAAAAATGATTTTTTATGAGGTGTTCCTTAAGGTCGAGCTCGAAGTTAACTTATATAACTTAATATTGACGGTTTCACTTCTTGCTTTGTTACAACTTCACTCTAATTTACTAATTACGACTAACAGCTAGGGGGCCTGGGGCGAGCCAAAGGCGAGTACATTTTATACAGTCATTATGAAAGTGCCTCTACCTCATGAAGGGTAATTGTGTATTGTCGCTATTTATCTTCTCCCACCCCCGCAGTTACTTAATGTCACTGCCTTCTTGTCTTTAACATAGTTCATGTGTTGTGTCACCCTCTGTGTGTATAAAATACATTGTTGGCTATCAATTTCATGTTAAATTCTTTTACAGTACATTCCTTTAATTCAGTCCATTGTTCACACATATTTATTCAATAAATGCTGTATAAACTTGGCATAATAAACAAGCGATGTTACCTTCTAGACATACGTTTATTGGTACTTCAATGTTCACAGTTTTTCAAACTGCATCCAACTCCGCAAGTAATATAGGTGAATAGTCCACCTTATATTCAGAACACTAATAAAATCAGTTTCCGCAAGACACTTAAGACTTTATATTAGTGATCGAAGTGGTTAAATATCAGATATTATTACAAAACATTTGCATAGTTATTGTGATTTTATTTTGGTGCACTATCCATTCCGACTTGGTCATCATTACCAAATATTCCACAACTTTTCAATCAAGATAGTTAGTTCCGGCCACAATCGAAATATATACATTTATGTTCAGATACTGATAGTTCATTTTATGATACTCATACTTCTTTATTTACTTTTTACATGGATGCTCAAAGCTGGTTTAGGTAGAAAATTACACCAAATTACCCTAATTCTATAGTACATTTATCTCAAATTACAAACAAAACTATTTAATTTAAACTAAAAAGCCTCATGAAACCCTAATAACGTTAGATTACAGTGAAGCAGTGTTTGTTGGCAGGTAGCAGCAACAGATGACGACACAGCGGGGGTGACCGAGCTTCGCTATATGATTCTCGCTGGTAACCAGGACAGCTGGTTCTCGCTGCAGCCTGTCTCAGGGTTGCTGAGTGTACGAGGAGTGCTACCTGCTCAACATCACCACAGCCACTCGCTGAGAGTCGCCGTGTCTGACGGACGCTACTCAGCTCAAGCGTGAGTCAGTGATAATGAGTGTTTAAGCAATAGCAGTCCCTATTATAACCATTAAATTATTAAAAGGTCTCACTATTGTAGTTGTGATTAAATCTTATATTTTAGACGACAAACTACAATAAAGCAAATTTGGGTAGTTTTAGGTTGTTTGTAAAGAACATACAGTTAAAAAGTTTAGGTTAGGTCAGGATAAAATTCATCGTTACATCAGTTAATTAAATGCTAATCATATTAACAATAATTTCGAATAATTGATACCAAGTTAACCTCAGACATTGATAGCTGTAGTAACTGTAGGCTGTTCGTTTGCACAAGCCAGGTTATTACTGTATTGGGTTTTGTGTATAAGATCTCCAGTACAGACTACAGAGACAGAGTTCCTCACCTTACAACACATTTATTCACTTGACATTCAGTTGTATTGTGACGTGCCTATTGAGTCAGTTCTTGGAATTCAGCCGTGAAGTGTGGATGGGTAGGAGCTGTGACAGGCCAAATATATAAACCTACAGTTAAACTGGAAAACAAATTACCGGTCTGTGCCATTACCTTATAGCTAATAACAATAGAGTTTAGAAATCGATGCTCCAGGAGAGAAAAACAGCGAAAATATGATGGAATGGTTTTGCCCAATTCAGTAATATTATACTCAGAAGTGCTATCCTCAGTTGTGTTTGAATGTAAACCAACTAATTGGTGAACAATCTCTTAAAATTGCTATCTAGTAACATAGATGAAAAAAACTGACTGAGAAGATTAAAATGTTACCCCGGCTGATTTGCTCAGCATTTGAAAATGATTGTATGTATGATACTAAAATTAAACTACCGGGTAAATCTCTACCATACACTTCCCTTTTCCGTTGCAACTGAAACAAATCATAATACAATCTTTATGTCGATTGGTTTCCTCCGACACCCCAAACTTGATTACATCTCTCGCAAACAAATTACTGAATCAAGCAACCCTATTGAACCTCGTTCCAAAGCAATGTGTACGTATTGTAGCAAAATACGAGTTTTCCTGAGGTAGTGGCTTTCATTTATCGAGTTTTTAGACTTACAAGTTCCTAATTCCAAACTTAAATCTAAATTCTTCCGCTTGGTATGGAGAAAAGTTTTAAAAACAAACCCTAAAATAGCCATAGCTTGTATAAGAGTATAGGGTTATTATTACTGTATTAAATCTAGCGAATATGTTTTTCCTTTACATGATTCGAAACGCACGACAAGCGTTTCACCACAAACAAAGAAACGTATTGCTTAATAAATTCATTCTATTTTCATCCATATAAATTTATGAATTTTATATAAAAAAACAAACTTCAAATGATGCCAAACTAGGAGGTAACCCGTCCTTCGTACGGGGCCGGTACGAAGTGTGAAATGAAATGAAATGAAAAATGTGCTTTATTGTTCAAACTACATATAAGTATACCTCCATAAATGTACCACTTAAACAAAACTTAAGTTAACATAAAATAACATACCTAACACTTATTAAACAATGGTCAATGTTGACCGTATGTTTGGTTGGCAACATAAATATTTTCTCATTAACAAAACAATTACAACTGTACAAGTATAAAATGCTTATTGCAGTTATACTAGTGCTTTCCATTTGCATTAGGAAAGTACACGGTTTCGTTGTTTTAACTTACGGTATGCCATAGTAATATACACATGGCCATCTACCATAGCTATAAAAATAAATAAAACAAATAAAATTCTCATTGTGTATCACATTCAGATTCAAATAGTTTCTTTCTATTTCCCACAGCAGACCTCTATAATGTTCTACTGAATATCTTTTGAATAAAATTGAAACATCTAGTGTATCGGTTATAACACAGTAAACGTTTTTCCATCATACTGTCCGGAAAGCAGCCGTTTTTATTTCCCTAAATCGTCAGCTAGATAATCTTTTTAGGTAACTTCAAATGGAGAACATAAAAACCTATGGTAATTTTTTCTGTTCGCTAACCTCAAATTTTGTTAGTGCATTATGGACATTATACAAGCCACACCCTATTTTAAGTTATGTTTGTAAACAACAGTAATGCAAATGTAAAAAGAACCACTTTCGCGCCTAGTGTTGAAATCTACTAAATACAATGTTACAATCAGGTTATAATCTATCAGTAATATTTGGTTAATTTAAAAGTGATTCAATGGCGTGATCTGATATTTGTTTTGGTCAAAACAAAATAAAATTATAACCAAGTAACACAAACAAACTTACATAGTTCAGTCAGTTAGTCAACACTAAACAAATGTAAAAAAAAATCTTTTACACAGTTTTGTGCTCTTTTTACAGTGAATTGAGGGATGTCTGTGTAATCATTTTAAACTATCTTTGTAAAAAATCACAGAGTGATGATATCCGGTTATAAATTAATAATACAATAAAATCGTATTTTATCAAACAGATTAAACCATGTCACAATTATTTTTTACGTGATTAATTAACGTAGTTGTATTTTTGTACTCTAACAAGTAGAGTGAGGCATGCAACATATTAAAAAGATATTTTGTTGTTAAAGATTTTCTACGTTGAAGTCGAATTGCTAGTGAGACTTAAGCGTTGTACGGAAATCTCTAGGCATAACAATTAAAATGATCTGAAAAAATATATTGGGCAACGTCGTATTTGCCTTGTGTGTCTCAAGCACGAATAAGAGGATGAAGAAGAGGCTTATGACCGACTTTGTCAATAATGACAAACGTTGTGTCATCGCCGGAATCCTATCCCATAATACGACTCCACCTTCTGCTATAACCCCGCGGTCTGTCAAGAAAACCAAGTAGATCAATAACCAGAGGTCAGGGTCATATCCAAGGGGCTTACATTTTTACGTTCATCGTAATATAACATGAGGAATAAACATATAATATCATAACATGAGTAGTTTATTACATTTTTACATTTCTTTTAGTTGTAATATTCTCATATTTAAGGGTTCGTCATTCATTAAATTAGATACATGCTAAATTCAAGTCAAGGAAAAGAAAAACAAATCGTACACAACTAACTATCTAGTAATGTAATTTTTTATTTGCAATCGAAAATAGCACAATATATTATATAGTAAAATTTCATATTTTAAATTACCTATTTAAAGCTTGGTGTAGGTAAATAAATACACTGAGTTCAAAAAAATAGTTTTAGTTCAAATTATTTAAATGAAATGTATGCAAGAATATAAATTAAATTAAAATGTCAACGAGTGCCTGAGAGCAACCTGATATGGTAAACAATGGAAGCTGTCAACACGTTTATACTTTTAACGAAAATGTTTGTCATTACAAGAAGCGCTATCTGATGTTATTATAACCAGTAGAACCTGTGTACTCGTTTAAACCTAACTTACTTTGACTCGTTTGAATAAATTAACATAATAAGTTTTGTTTATTCCATGCAACGCGCTGCATTATATTCGACGTAACTTTGCAAATTAGGCTTATGGGAGGAAACAACTATTGCATTTAACTTCACTTCATCAATTATTTACTTTGTTTTTTTTTTCAAATCTATCAAGTTTCTTGTGTATTTTATTCAGGTGTATTTCAATTTTATAACTTTTCACATGAATATTTATGATCTTATTTTAAATTGTGACTGTTATGATACTGTTACACCTATAAGTTAATATAGATTAACAAACGTGGCGATTAGTAGAAAAGCGATATTGACAATTTAAATATAATTGAGGTAGTTTGATACTTACTGTTGTTAAACTGTAAAATATGAATATTAAACTAACTTCAAACTATGCTAAATAAAACATAAAAGAAAATTGAATGGGCAAAGATACAATAGAGGTGGATTTTATTCATTATGGATTCAAATAGTTTCTTTCTATCTCATACAGCAGAACTCTATAATGTCCTACTAGATATCTTTTAAATCTAATCGAACCATAAATCTTGTTTAGTGGTTATAACACAGTAAATGTTTAATACAGTGTTATAATCAGTGTTAAGTATTCTATGATTTATTTTTCTTGTAGTCTGCCTCTAACACATGTTTTTGGGTTCTTCAATATTTACATGTGATTATTGTTGTTTTTTTTTTAAATGTTCTAATTGGCCAAGAAATATATCTCCAATTTTGTACTCACTCATTTTTACTTTCATTTTTTTGTGTTTTTTTGTGATTTTTCCCTACAGTATTTCTATATCCAAACAAGTTATAAGGATTTTTCTCTCTCTTCAATACTAATACATTTATTTAACCTCAAGACAAGTAATCAAGATTAGAAAGAATTAATTCAAGGGCAAATCTTTATTCCTATTCCATTACTCAAGTCTAAACCTAAATTCTCTCCTCTCTAAATTCCCTAATAATTTCATTCAGGTTAAAATCTATCAATAAATATTTGGTTCATTTAAATAAGATTCAATGGCGTAATCTGAAATTTGTTTCGACTAAAACAAAATAAAACTATAACCAGGTAAAACACAAACTTACATTGTCCAGTCAGTTAGTAAACAAAAAACAAATGTAAAAAACCTACAGTTGTATGTTCTTTTCAAAGTGGATTGAGGTACGTCTCTGTAATTATATTAAACTATCAATGTAATTTAATCACAAACAGAGTTCTGACATCCGTAAAATACTATTGGCCTACGTTGTATTTTCCTTGTGTGTCTCGGGAACGAACAAGAGAACGAAGAAGAGACTTATGACCGAATTTGTCAATAAAGATAGCACGGTATGTTTTCATTTTGGACAGTTATATTGCAATTAAATATATCTAACAAGAAATACCTTACCTAGAGCAAGTGAAGCGTTACATTACAATAGTTTGCTGAATCTAGACAATACTATTCTGGTATCACTTCAGACTTGCATTGACTAAACGCTTGTGACAAGGCTCCCCTAACTCTCTGGCTGACACGTGGCTTATGTTAATACACATCGATTACATGTTGCAACAAGGCTCAACCAACCACATATTTACAACAACCACTGCTTAAATGTTTGAATGCTACAGTTGT